TTGGATTTTTTCAAGCAGCTTTGTGAGGTCGGCTGCCGTCTTTCTCAGTCTATCCGTGAAAGTTAACGGAAGGCTGTCAAACAGGGTCTCCAATTCCTCCATAATCACCGTATAGCACACAAGTTAGTACTTGTTTCTCTCACAGCTTTTGGGAGATCCTAAATACAAAATAACAGCGACATCAAGTTCAATAATATAATGATGGACTCACGTCCACTATACGACCGTCCAATACATCCCGGGAATCCGACAATGGCCCGTGACTGGAGTCGCAAGGTTCGCGTCTTTGCGCGTACTGAGCGGCCAGTCAAGTACTACTATATCGATTTTGGGTTATCGGAACAGCAACCGGAAGCTCGAAAACCTGGATACGGTGGAGATACAACTGTGCCAGAGTTCAAGCGAAACGAGCCTGCAGATCCTTTCATTGTTGACATTTACCGGTTAGGAAACCTGTTTCGAGAGTGTCTAATGAGTGGCGTACGTTCATCTTCCCCCCCTTAGAGTCATGCGTTAAACATATATAACCCAGCTGCAGACGTTATCGGCAACATTATTTCCAGCACGACGAGGACTCGAATTCATGAACGACCTCATTACTGACATGACTCTACCTGATCCCGGGAAACGACCAACGATAAAGGAAGTCATCTCTCGCTTTGATGCGCTCCAGAAAGGCCTTGGATGGAGACAGCTACGTGCACCCTTACCCGCGCTTGGAGATACACCTCTTTCCTTTCGACGCTGGAGTCGACATTGGGAAAAACAGATCTCTTATAGTCTCAGAGGCAAACAGGCGGTCCCGACCCCAACTGGCATGTAGTTGACATTAAGCGGCGCTCAATTTTGATTTTGTTTGTAATCTATAACCTCTCGCGGCACGGATAAGAAAGTATGCATGAGGTGGAACCACCCTTTTACTAGAGAATCTCAGTCAGATACTCACAAAAACGAGTTCGAAAGTTTGATTAACGGTTCTGCGGATGGTCAGTAACAGCCGTTTCCTTGTGTCGTCAGTCGGTGGATCTTATTGCCGTTGTGGCTAGTTGATGATCTTCCTCAGTGACTACTTCCGAGTGCCCTCGATACTCCTCTATGAACAATTTTTTACCCTTACCTATTTCAAATGGTCTCACATCATTGTGGAGGTTTTGCCGATGAATTTGAGTCTCTTAGTGCTCAAGTGAACGCTTGGGTGGTTCGCTCCAGCACTGAGTACTGAACACTAGGCCTGTGACCGGCCCCTCACAAGAAACTCGTTGTGAGGGGCCTGGAGCGCGGAGTTTAATCGGGTTAAATGTACAGTTTCACAAGTTCAATCTTAGGTTTGTATTCGTTCCCCCTTTCCACGTCCTCACTGCCTGAACACAGGCTTTCAGAGGCGTTCCTCGCCTGACCACAGGCGTTCCCCGCCTGAACACAGGCGACGGCTTTCTTGATCTCTAAAGCCTGAACACAGGCAGTGCTGATGGCGCCTGACCACAGGCGCCGTCTCACCTTCTCTTGCTCTCAGATGACATTTTTTGTAGGCATGACAGTAGCGGTGATCTCACCTGTCACTTCCTTTCTCGTTATAGCCTCTAACTAGTCCTGTGCTTACTGATACATCCCTTCTTATCCCTCACTATCGTCTGTACTTTCTTCGCTCTGTCTGCTATCTTTAACCGCCCTCTCCACCCGCATATAGTGATTGTACAATACTGTTCACTTACATTTCTTGGTACTGCTCTCTCCTACCATTACTGTATATAACGCCTCCCACACCACCCTCTGTATTACCTATTCGGCCATCTTGAAGTCGGGTCTTTCTGGGCGCTTGACCTGGCCCTCACGCCGCCGCGTGCTGGGTTTTTTGTCGCCTATTCCCTACTAAGAACTCAAAGATTGGATTGGCTGGAGACACGGATTCGTCCAAAAAAGGATTCTGGTTATGATCGAGGATCACGTGTACCCCAGTTTTCACTCGTTCCGAAACGCGTCGCGACTTTCTCCAGCGCGATTTTCTTTCCGTCCGTTGCGAAAAAGACATGATAGACATCAAGTACAGAGCTAAGGTTCTAGAGAATTTATCTAGGCAGCAATTTGTAGGCATATTGGAGAAAAATAACCACATTTATTGCGTGGTATGACACACCCTATCTATTTTGAAGCTTAAAGATACTACCCTGTGTTTCTTGTTGCCTATCTTTACCCATTCATTGATGATTCTTATATACAAATGAGCCTTGGAACGCACTGAACGCGCTCTGGAGGGAAATCATTCAGCCACGTGGATTCTCGATCATAACTGACAATCCTTTTTTGGACGAATCCGTGTCTCCAGCCAATTCAAACTCCGCGCTCCAGGGTCCGTTAATCGACGCTTGCTCATTTAACGGTCCTGTCACAGGTCTAACTGAACACATGTACTATGAATAGTGAATTCAAAGGGCATGAATTATTGTACAAAGTTTCGTTGTAGTAAAACCATGTGCCAGAAATTGAGAGAAAAAGATATGTCAGCAAGATGTCAGTGTTGCCTGAGCTCACACTATATAAGTGTAAGAGTCTCATCGTCCTTCTCGAACTACCAACTTCTGCAATGCAAGTTGAGCGAGATTCCGAATATCTAGATTTACTGAATCTTCCGCGACAATGATACCGAGACGGTCAAGACCTATCTCAAGGACGTCGCGCTTCTTTGATTTTGTTTCGTTGTCCCACTGTTCGGCCCCGGAGAGAACGTCGGTGGCGACCTTCACGACTACCCCATGAACCACGTGGATGAGATCGCGAGCTTCGTGAGCCGCGTGGTCTCTTGCTCGCCGAATCGCAGCTTTCATTTCCAAGCTTTGATCTTCTCTGTCATATTCGTCAGCTGCAAGCCTGGAGGCGATCGTCCAATCCATACGCTCCCTGGCCAAACGCTCTTCCATCTCCGGCGAATCAACCTCTGCAAGTCTCGAGAAAATTTGCTGATCTTGCTGTAGCGCTTCCACCTCATCGGATGTCATCTTCCTCTTCCCTTTATCGGCGACACCCAGCCCAACGAGACTTTCGGTAGCAAGTTCTTCCACTGCCTGGAGCCGTCGTCGAGGCCTGTAGCGAATTTCGTCCTCACCCTCATCACCATCACGATCCACAAATCGCTTCCTCCAGATTTCATCGCGAGCCTGTTGCCTATTTGTCTACGTCAGGAAATCACTACAAGAATTATTATAGGTGGTGAACTTACTCGTGAAGCCTCTCGGCTTCTTCTTCGAGACGGGCATGTAGATTCAAAATTTCTTGTTCCTCTCCTTCCTCAACTTCTACCCATTCCACGCCGTGTACTTCGGCAGGTAGTTGTGCATACTTGAATGGTCCACCCCAAATTTCCTCAAACTCCCAACGTCCTTGGTCTTTCCAGCCGCGACCGCCATTGCGGAGATACTCCTCCCTCACCGCAGCAGCTTGTACTTCACTTAGGATCTCCCCATTTTGAACACGATTGCCCCAGCGGTTGTTATTAGGAATATAGTAAGTCATATACGTCAGAATCCTCTGCCGCGTCTCACGTTCTCTTCTGAGGACTTGAGAGAGTTGGTGAGCCTGATGAATGACATTGTCGGCGAGGGTTCTCAGGCTTTCGACTTGAGCAGATAACGTGCTGTCTTTCTCTGAGACTTGACGCATCGTTTCGATTGCGTGCTTGACTGCGGTGGGAGAACAAGGGGGCTGAGGAGAATTTGCCAGGGATGATGGTGGGGTTGCGTCGGTTTCGTTAGTGTACTCGGATGAAGCATTGGATTCCTCTTCAGATTCGTCATTCTCGGGGGAATCTTCGTCATGGTTGTACGTGAGAGATGTGGGAGGCCACGGTCGTTGCGGGCTTGCATCAGCTTCGGCTGTGGCATGGAAGACAGCGGCACGTATTTGTGGCGAGGAAGGGGGGGAGGACAGAATGGGACTGGGAGTTGGAAGGTTGTTGGCGGCTGGAAGGGGTAGCTGAGCTTCCGTGTGACTTTCTTCGATAGCGGGGGAAGGGGTTCGAAATTTGCCTCTAAGTTTTCGTTTTGAAGGTTTCGAGGGTGTAATCGACACACTGAGGCCTGAATGTAAGTCAATTGGAAGGATCGACAATGCTAGCGTATTGACCTTGGTACGCCCTCGGGAAAATTTTCTAACAGCTGTTTGATGATCACTGTGCTCTTGGA